GAGAATGACCTCATTCTCTGCTTGTGTTGACTACTCAACTATATATTTAAGCTACTTAACAAACAGATGTTAGCGACATCAATGCTGCCGTACACAGTAGGCTATAACCCTGCTAATTTCACCTACAAAATATTAAAGAAGCAACAAGGAGATGATCGTTTCTGTTACTTTTGGCGACATCTGTTCACAATTCTGCCAGACTCAGACCTGGTGGACAGGGTGCAAGCAGAAAAAATAAAAGATCAGATCTTCTCACTGATGGTTTGCTTTATGAGTCTTTGGCAACGCACCACTAGGAATCAGGAAACATTTTGTTTGCTCTGTATGAATGCAATGGAACCTCTTTCTGCCTAAAAGGATGGAGGAGAGGCGTATCTTGCCTCTTATCCATCTACTCAGTCCATCTTTCTGCTTGTGATGCCAACCTTCAGATGGGACACTGCCAGTTTCCGTTAGTCAGAAGAGACATCAGTGTTTCATGATGCAACAGCCTGAAGGAAAGAGATAGAAACATCACAAATCATCGCTCTGTTTCTGTATTTTAAGGCATCTACTTACAGATGCTTCTGAATCTCTTTAGCTCTTTGGGAGCGTATAGTGATAATGTACTTCTTAAAGACAGTTTACCCACGGTTTGTAATTATCATGTCATTTTGGTGAGAAGAACTTTAAAATGCAAATTAGGAAGATGATCGAATACGTCTGTTTTGTTTGAAAAGCTATACCCAGCTATGTGTGGGTAAAAGATCAGATATTAATGATTCACTGTCTATTTTTATGCTTATAAAAATGCCTACATTTCATTTTAAGGTCTTAATCCACCTTAGTCTAACACGTCTGGGCTCCAGTTTCTATGTTTGCCTCAGAGAATGACTGTACTCGTCTCGGTAAGCTCGTGCACATCTTCAGGTCCCCCCTTGAAGGCCAGCACTGATTACTCAGAGCCAGGTTAGGTTGAGTTCGCGGCCCTGTCAGACCTCACCGCCTCGTTCCCAGTAAGCTGCTCCGATCAATGGACAGATTTGAGGGCCAGAAGGCTAGACTAATCCTTGGGCTTCATCGATTACCCTCCGTGTTACAGCTTCACACCCCCAATCATCCTGTTTTATTTCTAATGCCTCGCTCTTTTGTTTCCTTCCTCTATCAATCTTCCTTTTTTCCCTGTCATCCTCTAGTTGTAATTATTCTTTCTCTGCCTTTGTTTCAAGCGATGTCTTCCACCCAAACTATCCATTTGCAACTCTTTTCTCCTTCCAGCTTTTTTCTTTGTGTCTTCGTCTCTCACCATCTTCCTTTTATCTCCCTGTCTCCCACTATATCGCATATCTCCCTTGATTGCTTCTGCCCTACTCTCTCTCTCTCTCTCTCTCTCTCTCTCTCTCTCTCTCTCTCTCTCTCTCTCTCTCTCTCTCAGTCCCAAAGGCCTAGGGGCTCCCAGCAGTGGATTATCACACATTTTAGGAACTCAGCTCTCTTAGTCCTGTCGGCCCAATTAGTTGTCGGATTGGGCATTGTCAATCTACCGCAATCTCCAGAGGGAAAATCATCCTCTCAATTCCATGCCCAAGAATACACGTTTTCAATATATGTCATTAACACCATTTAACCACAGTTATGGTTAAATAGATGTTGATGATGCTGTTTTTGGATTGCAGTGGAATTACAGTATTGTGTGTTACCAAAGATAGCCTTTTGTTGTGGATACAACCCATCATTTGAGATAATCGGGGAAGGATGCACGCGCATCTGTGTGGATATTGCCAGACCTGTCTGTTTCATTCTCTTCCTTTGAACACAGGCCGCCAATTTGATCAAAGCCCAATTACAGCAATTGCTAAGAAATTCATTGGAGAACAGAGGAAGCTAGAGAAGAGGAGAAAAAACCTCAGGGACTTAAAGAAGTAGACGGGAACAACATAAGACCTGTTCAACATGAAAGAGGGAAAGAAAAAAACAAAATATGGGCTGAATAGGTAGAAGTCGGTTGGGAAGGTGTAAATGATTTTTGAAATGATAGACACTTTCAGATCAAACATAAACCAAACAAGCACACATTGCAGCAGGAAAATAAGGTACGGTATATTGAAACATCTGCTATCCAGAAAATTGATTTTCTCTTTGTCAACCTGGTTGAAAAAACCTAGTTGAAAAAACCTAGTTGAAAAAACCTAATGCTCTTACATTATGTTTTGTGATGGAATCTGGCAAGAAGAAAAAATTGATTCAGGCAAAACGTTTTAGCTTTTCTAAAACAATATTGATAAAACCAAAAACACATCCCTGAGTGTGACTAAGAAAACACACAAAAAGTAGTAAACATAGCACACCGGATCTAATTTCAAGTCAACTTGCTGAGGGAAATAAGAGTCTAGAGTAGTCTATTCAAGCTCTTATCTACAGTATATCTGTCTATAAACTTCTATACAAAAGAGGCATGGTTTGCAGGCAGCAGTTGATGTAAGGAAATACTTATCTTGAATAAACCGGGAAACGTATCATCCAGTTGGATATTAAGCTAGCTTGCTCAAAGAGTTGTTGTTACTGATAAGCATGTTCCAAAGTTCTAGTTTAGGTAATCATTCTGTCACCCAGCTTCTAGCACCCCTTCATAAGGAAACTACTTTCTGGTTTAAATACTTTAATCAGTATGACGCTGTTGATTGCTTAAGCAAGAATTAGTTATCAGAATGATTTTTATAGCGAAAAGCAATCATATCCTTCCCTTTTCATTACAACTGTTGTAGGCCAGTTATTGCAAATGTCACGCCAACTGTGATGAGGTTTGCACCCAACTTACAAGTTTGAGAAAATCCTAGATATTGATGAGATGAGTATATGGGAATAACAATGCTTGGATAATTTCCTTAAACCCTACCACAGATCATCTGGTATGTGGATGTGCTTTTATTCCACCTGAGTAGATGGACACTTGGGAGTGAGGTCAGCACAAGTCTTCAGTGTGGACAGAACAAAAGGCAAACAGAAGCAAAGGTCCATGTAATTGCCCTCCTCTCTGCTCTGCCTGAGCAGTTTAATGAATGGTGGCAATCTCAAGCTACTGTTAAAATGGTAACGAGTGTGCGGGTCACTGGCTGGCCCCTTTGATAAAGAGCATGGTCAGGGTCCAGCACAAAAATGACTTCAACCAGATGTGACTACTCAGTGGCGGATGGTGTCCTGAACCATTAGCGCGGCCATTGAACAGGAAGGATGGGGTAATGGGGAACTATTTGGATGAATGAAGCACTTTATTTTACACCAGCGGGTGTATGTGTGTGCCTGAGCAAGCAAGAACAGGGAGGTACAGGCACCAAAACGTTCTTTGGATAACCAATTGCACTATGAGAGTTTGAATAAGAAAATATTGCATTGCATAATCATCACTTCTGCATTGAGTTACTTTACCCAAATAACAAAAATAATCCATTGTCATCCTCTCATGAAAAAAGTGTTGATTTCAGGTTTAGGTATTTAGTTCATTCAGATTTTTAAGATTTGCGTTTCTCCCTCTGTTAGCAATGATGAAGATGACTAGAAGTTTATTTTAGTGTACACTCATCATTTAAAAATAACAAAATAAAACAAATCAAGCAAGGTACAAGTGTAGAAATATACATAACTAATAAGAGACGACATGTGTCTGGTAGGGACATTTCGTATCCTTTTCTCTCTGAAATCAGATTTTCTGTTTAATGCTCTATGTACTCATTACATAGGTGTAGAGACACAATAGAGATGCTCCATGCACTGCAATGTGTGGATCTTGATCTTTTATCGTGTCCGTTTTCTTCATGTGTTTTCACAGAGACACTTGGCGTCAAAGTGTCATTCACCAGATTTAGCCTGCATGGAATTTAACTTTGCGGCCCAATAATATAAATTGCTTTTTTGGAAAATGGACAAAAATGAGTTCCTCCCTTTTCTTACAGACTGTGATGAATACTTTATGTGTGTGGTCTGTTTCTGGAGAATGCAAAAGGCCCGGAGGGATGAGGAGGGGGCCGTCACACACTTCGATGAAATCCTTGTATTTTGCTGTTTTCGCTTTAGAAATGAATGAGTGCATTCTTTCTCGAGAGCATTGGTGTCTGTCTGTCTATTTCCCCCCAGCCCCTTCTTTCTTTAACACTTTCTCCCCCTGTGTCTTCAGTAGCTGATTGATAGCACTCCATTGACTCGCAGTTGATGGGAATGTCTCAGGGACAAACAGGGGTTGTCAAGCTGAAGTTCATGAGGAACTCGGCTTAGAGCGTGACTCTCAATGGGGTCTCTTGTAACTCTTGTATGAAGTCATCCGTGGATCCTGACCACCCTGTTGACTTTTCCTCAATAAAGGCCATCAGGCCAATTCTTCGCTAGCTTACAAACAAGAAACCCACTGCGGCTATTTGGTTGTGGTTTTATAAAGAAGCTACAATACAACTATTCTTCCTCGACACAAGTTTGCTTAGGAGGGCTAGAAGTTCATCACAAACATCTTTGCAATTTCTTATAGAATCAATACATTTAGAAGTTTTCTTTCATTGGTCATGGAAATAATATTAACTCCAAGACTTTGTTAACTTTAGCTTGACATATATATTTTCTGATACTTCACATGCTGTGCTTTATTTGTACAGCTGACTGGCGTAGCACTTTAAAAAAAAATCTTTTCTAACTGCTCTGCTTGGATCTTCAGCCTATGCCAATGTTGCCCTTTAGTCCAATGTGCTGTAGGTGGAAGTTGCCAAGTTGTAGTCTTAACACACTGCTACACGAGGCATTAGAGGAATCTGGCTTCTGTGCTGTTCAGCAGTTTTGTCAATATGATGCTGCCAAATAAACGCTCTCTCTGCCTCCTGCCAGTGGTGATTTATGGCTGAATACTGACTTGCCCTGTCCACTTTATCCCAAGAGAAAAATAATTGTCCAATTGAGCAGAACTTGGGCCTTGAAGGGAGACTCACTTGTGGGGATAGAGAGGCAGAATATTTTATTGGCATCGGCATTTGGATGAATGATGCACATCTCAATCTCATGCGGCTGACGCACTGATATACTTTAGAGCAGTGGTTCTCAACTGGTCAGGCCTCGGGACCCACTTTTTCCTTTGTCAATAAATCGCGACCCACAATTTTGAACCACTCAAATCTATTCAACAAAAAATTGTGCTGTAATATATACGCTTTTTTTAGCATACAATATTAATTAAAGGGAAGTACAGTGCATACAGTATATCCCTTATATCCCAGAAGTAAAGTATGCTTTAAAAAAAGGTTTAATGAGATGTTGGAATCAAAGCTGAACTGTATAACATAAAAAGGCACATATGCTGAAAACCCAACCCCAGCAGGGGGTCTGGGTGGATTCTCCCCCAAGAGATTTTTAGAAATACTAACATATAAACTACACATTCTGTCTGAGAAGAAAATAAATAAATCTATTACTACCTGACATATTAATAATATTTGATGCCATTGTTTGTTTTACACTTTGTTCTGACTGCTGAACTTGCTGCTCCACACAGAGAGAAGAGCAAAGAGGAGATAGTCTGTGTCAAATACTTTAAATTGTGGGTTAGGGTAGATAGCCCCCATTGTTCTGCGACCTGTTAATCATCAAACCGGGGGTCATATTTCATTATGTGTTCATTTTTATCTGAAGTTGTACCCATGGATGTATAAAGAATAGTTCTACCGCATGCTGAAAACCCAGCCCCAGCAGGGGGTCTGGGTGGATTCTCCCCCAAGAGATTTTTAGAAATACTAACATATAAACTACACATTCTGTCTGAGACATTCGGTTCGCGACCCACTTTTGGGTCGCGAACCACCAGCTGAGAATCACTGCTTTAGAGGCACATTTTCTTTCCCTTTTTCCCTTTCCTTTTCAAGAAAGCGGATTCCAGTTGATGTGTAACACATTTAGGAAGCTGTCATTATAGATTTATATGGTAGACAGGGCTTACTTGTAACCAGAAGTGCCACTTGTAATTTGTGTCAAAGGAGGATTCTAGCTTTTAGAGGCCGTAGAGAGAGAATTGTATTTTTTATGTGTTGCAGCTTTTTTTGTAACCCAGCTCTGGGACATGGCCCAATATAATGCCATGACTGTCTGACCCAGACAACTTAACGCTGTGCTTTACATACGTTGTCAAGTTGCTCTGCTGCAAATCTTTAACATTTTATAGCAAGTTGAATTTCTCTAGCCTTCGTATTGTCTGTTTCTAAAACCAGCGGGACATTTTGATGGTTACTTTTCTCTTTCTGACAGTAATTACTTGATTAATCAAGAAAATAAAAGGTAGATCATTCGATAATAAAACATTATTGTTAGCTAAGGGTCTAACATCATTTGTTTCCAAACTTCACTGATCAATGTTTTTTATTGATATATTACCAGTGGATCCAATTTATATTTACAATAGAGAAGTTATCTTTACTACTAATGAATACGCAGATTTAAGTACCACTTAGTTGAGCACCACTTAACTCTGCAGTTTCACTCAAAAAGCTCTTTAGCTTATTTGGCGCCTTGTTTTGTTTTTTATCCCAATAATGAGCGGCATTCATAGCATCAGTATTCAGAAAGAAAGCTTTGATGAACCCACTGAGCACTACCTGCCCAGCACAACAAAAAGCTGGTGAACATGGTCCAACATTTGGCCAATAATGTATATGGGGACTAAAATAGAACTAAAAACAGATTGAATATTAGATGTTTGTCAGGTAACCACAAACACTATCAATGAATGCTCATGTTGATCAATCGATAGCTTTCTTGGTAGAATCAGTCAATGCAAACGGGAGCATTGTAAATCTAATCCTTAAGATAAGGAGAACATTGCTGTTACTGCCTGCATGGAACGAATGTCAAGCTTTGCACCGGTATCTCATTAGAACCAGGCCAGCTGTGCAGAGGCGGACAGCCTGTTACCAGAGACATCAGTTATAGTAGGCCAACGACCAATTGGGGAACACTTGCTACATGTTGCACCGCTCAGACATCCTCACACGGTAGCTTTTTCAAATTCAGTTAAGAATACTGTGCAATTCTTCATCACAAGAGGGGTTTTTACGTCATTTAGAAGCAGGTTTACGCTGTTGCTTCATCGGTTAGAGCTGTTAACGACGTCACTAGCAGCCCTGAGAAGCGTACTGCTGTTCGGGGAAATATCCCGTTTCCTGGTTGTCTGGACTCCACAAACAGCATTGAAAGCAAAGCTCCACTAGGGTTGAATATTCTTACTATGGGCAGCTTTGAGCGAAGTGCCCGGAGACTCCACTTTAATGGCAGTTTGTGTTGTGGAAATTGGTCCAGAGCTCTCAAAGCTGATTCTGTAAGTCCCCAGCTGCGCGGCTACACTTTAACCAAGTTTTAAGCGGAAAAAACTATTTTAAAAACCAGCCACGCTGATAGAGGGTCGAATAAAAATGGTTTCTTTTGGAATACAAACTGCATCTTTTGCTACAGTGTCCCCACCATGATAGGAGAGGGCGATCTGAAAGTCTTAACCTTATACTAAGTTTTATAACACTAACTGTTCTGACAAGAGATAGCTTTTTTTTGTCTGAGTAAGACAGCATCATTTACATCCCATTGGGTAAAGACACCAAGCAGATATTTGGCTGCTGAACTTCTCAGCTGCCTTGTATTTTCAACTCTAACAATTTCAAGCATACTAAAATATGTAAGGTTTCGTGAGGCTTAAAATAATCATGTGCTATCACAACAGAGTACATGGTGATACAGGCTTTCTACTTAAGGATTTATCATGCATGTCCCTACAGACAGGGTTTGCATCTTAACTCCCTGGGAGCAGAAGCTTCAACATGGCCTGCTGCTGGCAGTTGCCACTAGGCAGGATCCCTCAGGCCAATCAACTTCCTGAAGGCAGGCCTGGGTTTTCCTCTTGTTCCACTACCTAGAACGGCAAGCCACCCTGTCAATCACATCTCTAGGCCCCACTGTGCTGCCGGACCCACTGGCACTCTTGCCATGGCAACGCAAATCCCAGCAGACCTAGCTGTCAAGAACAAGAGTTCTTAGAAATATGAAAGACAACGGTCTATGATCCAGTGTTTACACATGGGGTTCGTGCTCTGGACCAAGATGTCTTGGTCACGTGAATAATGTATGCCTATAGTTATTTATTACATTTTCTAGGGAAATGTTGTAATGGTATTGTCTGTATCATCACACAAAAATTAACTATGAAAGAAAGATTTCATAATCAAATCGCCCCAAGAAAAAATGTGTTCTAAATTCTAAAATTAAGCTGGCACAAAGGAAGCTACGAAGAACAGCAGGAAAAGCTCTGTGTGAGCTATCTCTTGAATCAAAGTGGCAAACAAGGACATTATTTGTTCAGGATAATAGTTTCTCAAAGCACCCTCAGACCATACTCAGCATAAGAATCAGCAGCGGTGTAGATGGAGTTCCCCATGGTTGACTTTTCTTAAAATATACATTTAGAGAAGAGATTAGATAAACTCTTGGCCAAACAGTGGAAGGATGATGCGGCTCTATTGGCTGACCAATGGCCTCTACACCCTGTTGGGACCTCAAATGGTCCATTACAAGTTTGACAAAGTAGACCCTGTCCATTTCAAAATCAATTGCATTTCATATATTGGAGAATGTGTTTGCTCGTGGGCCTGAGCACATAGAGCTCAGATTTTCTGCAAAGACAAACATCCTAAACAAAGATTCCGAAAGTACAATCTAAATTGTTGTTGTTATCACAGCTTTTTCTGTCAAGCTTAAAGTGTAAACAAAAAACAACAGGCCCTTCTGGCAGGTCAGAGGGCCTAGGTATAAAAGTCACGGCTCGCCACTGTTAGTGAGTAAGTAGCTCCCCCAACAATGCACACAAGACAATTTGATGCTTTCTAGTCATCAGTCTCAGGTAGGCCTACCAGTTTATTTATGAATTGTACATCTAACATAGGTCCAGTGCTAGCCGCGTTAGAATTGTTTTACTTTAGCTTAATACTCTTGACAATTACAAGAAGACTCTTTGTAACTGTTGTGTTCTTTTATTCCTGGGAAAGACAAACAACTTCTAAGCTTAACTATTTATTAAAAGAGAGCAAAATATATATTTCACTTGGCCAAGGAATCCGTCAGGTCATAGAAATCACAGGCAGCAGAGCTGTAACCTGTAACTCTATTTCCAGAAAAAAGCCTTGAACCTTGTGCGTGCCGTGCATACATTTTTATTATTCAGGCCTCTGCCCGTACATTTATGATTGGTTGAGACTAGATGGGGAGGACCGTGGTTTAGACTTTGGCCTCCCTTGTTGGTGCACAGACTTAGACAAAGTCTCTTGGCAACACGACCTCCAATCAGCATTCGGCCGTTCTGTGAAGGTTCCCTCCCTACTCTAGTCACGCTATCCTACGTCATTTGTTTTGCTGAAGCTGCTTTGCAATAGATATTGGGAATCTTCCATTATACTAGTTCCCAGTTAAGCTAAACTTTCTTCTATGACTTTTCCCTTCGTTTCGTATCCAACCCATCAGAACCTGGGATTGGTGATTGTGTCTATTTATTCCAAAGTCATAGCAACATCTCATGAGCACAATGAGCATATAATGTAATATTAAGAATCACTCTTATAATGTTATATACAAATAGACTCCACACCGCCCACGCTCCCCTACAATGCTACACCCTCCCATCATGCTATAAATAATCCCAACTAGTAGTTTCTTTGTGATCCTGATCTTAAAACATGATGCAATGATCCACAGTGTTTATTATACTTGAGATTGTTGTTCTCTGAGGATAAACGGATGTATAAAGCTGCCACTGTATGTTGACAGGGGGTCCGGTTCGATCCAGAGATCCCTCAGACCCTCCGGCTGGAGTTCGCCAAGGCCAACACCAAGATGGCCAAGAACAAGCTGGTGGGCACTCCCAACCCCCTCCCCTCCCAGCAGAGCCCCGGCCCCCAGTTCATCAGCAGAGACCCCTGTGAGTATACCCAAGTGTGTGTGCGTGTGTGTGTGTGTTTGTGTTCCTCACTGAACACACTGATCTGAATGCTCTCTGTGCTGATGGTTAACTGGATGTGATGAATGATTGATCAGCTGTTGACCTCTCCTTATTAGAGCTGCAGGCCTCTCTGTACCAGTGTGTGTGCTGCTCTGCTCTCTTTAGTTAAATATTTCTCTCAGGTCAGGGACTGCGTGTTGATAGTTGAACATGCTGAACACAGGCCAGCTATGGTGGTACATTCCTCCTCCATGACCACCACTCTTATCTGGGAGAAGGGGTGTGTATCAGTGTGAATGGAAGGAAAGGATTAATGAAGCCATGACGTAACCACACTGGGAGAGTTTCTGTTGTTCCTGATAAGAGATGTTTAAATATCAGCCAGGTTTCTGACACTGAGAGCAGGAGGGTCTCTTAACTCTGTACCACTCTGCACTGTCACCTCGCTGCTCCTTCTTTACTCGCTTCAATAAGTCAATCATCACATCAGACTATTCCTCTCAGTTTCCCCCGAATATCATCAGCTTCACTGGGTTTAGGGAGAAATCATCCACTGTCTGAGATCCCTGCCCCCACTCAGTCAGTGTTACTACGCCTCAAAGGTGTCCCTGCTCACACGAGACACTTTACAATAACCACAGAAACACGTTTTCCTCTCCAGACACAGAGGGACAACTGATACAACTTAACGACAGTTCATTCTAAAGCTTAAAAAAGGTTGCTTTGGTAATTAAAGGATGATAAAGCTGGCGTTGCTATGCAAAGTAACAGCAATTAAACTTTAACAGGAAGTACCAACACATAGTACGGCAATGTGGAAGCACTCTAGAGCTGATGAAGCTTACGGAGAATAAATTGTCGCAGTATTGGCGGTATAAAAAAAAAACAGTGTCAGATTCAGCCTCCTGCTGTTTGGTAGCCTCGCTTACATATTGAATGTTTTCACTTTCAGCTACATGATGCTAACTCGCGTATCTGAGTTTAATCAAATGGAACAGAAAGCGCTGAATAACCTGTACCCCCCACTGCACTGAATTCTCTCTGAACTGCTAGGCGTCAGTAGCGAGGGGCAGCTGCTTCAGCTGTAATGCACCTCCACCCTCCCCCTCCTCACCCTCCTCTTCTCTCTCCACAGATGAGCTCACAGTGCCGGGTCTCTATCCCAGCAGCCCTGATGTGTGGGCGTCATACCCGCTGTACCCGGCGGAGCTGTCCCAGGCACTGCCACCCGCTTTCACCTACCCCTCCTCGCTGCACGCTCAGGTAACCTGCACCACCCCCTCCACTCCCACTCCACCACCTCTATCACAGCTGCTGCCTCAGACACACAACCCAGAGGGGTTGATGACCACCAAATGCTGACTATGACTCTCACGGTGTCACTGTATTTAGCCGATCACAGCGTCATGCACACATCTGAGTGTTTGCATCGTGGTTTGCCCCCTCCACTTTCTTAATTATCATGGTTTGCCCCCTTCTCTTGGTTAATTAAAGCCTCTGTTCTCCGGTTATCGAGGCCTCTAATCTGCAGCGTTCCTCTGTGAGTTCATACCTCAGTTCATTATCGATCGGTGAGTTTCTTCTCATGGAGCCTGACCCTGATGAGTTCTTATTTCTGCTTTGTTCCAGAATCTGGGTTACAGTAACGTCTTTCATCTCTGCGGAGAACATCTCCACATAAATAAAATGCAGAGACTCAGATTATCTAAGAGGAATGGCCCAGAGCAGAGAGACTACAGCAGAAGCTCACATGATGTCAGAATACGATATGAAAGAGAGATGAATCTGCTGAGCTGGCATTACACACACACACACACACACACACACACACACACACACACACACACACACACACACACACACACACACACACACACACACATACACACACACACACACACATACACATACACATACACACACACACTTTAGCATAAAACTGAAAATGGAGGGAAAGAGCTAGCCTTGTCAAATTTAAGTATGCTGTTTAA